CTTCAGTAATTGTCACAAAGTTGGGATATGATTGATGTAAACCCGGACAGCGAGAAATCCAGTTTGGTCACTCGGCTGTTCCAGAAGTTTAGTTGATGGGAGACAGGGGAAACATATTGACTTTTACTAATGAACAGAGATCCCATCCTTATCGGAGTTTGTTTCACTAACATCCGTCCTCCACAGACCAGCTGATCTGATTGGCTGTAAGAGGGTGTGCTTATTTCCGTTGCAAAAGCTTTCCCTATTTCTCAATAGGGAAAAAACTCTTAAAGATCCCATGTGTACTGTTCCAGGGCGAAATATGTGAATATAAAGAGCATATAATGTTATGGGGTATGATCTACTGCACACGCGTACTTGGAATAACACACCGACCAACACGGTAGAGCGCACGCTTGAAGGCAACGACCATCAAGATTACGAAATTTTAATATATGAACATTTGGCGAAATATGAAGACCATCTTCGCACAGTACGCTTCAGATCGAATTCCCGCTTGTTATTGTCGGATCAGATGCTTTCGTGTGGTTGTAGTACCGCAAGTGATCAGCAAGTAATAATATCACCAAGTTCCAGTTCGTTATGATAAGTCCTTTGACTCAGATCGGGGTAAGACTATCGAAAGACGTGAATTCCACCATTGAACAAAGCGAGTGAAATCTTCAGTTTTCAAATTTGTCAGCGTTAAACCATGTAACACAGGTACCTTGGTTCCAGTCACTAGTTTCGATCACCGAATAGTGGAATCGTGTGGGAGATGCGCCAAGCGTTGGTGGTTATGGCATGTTCAGTTAGTTGGGGAATTGGCGATAACTCAGACATAAGATCGCCAATGACTGAGCAATTGAGCTGTCGGTGTGATTAGCCATCGATGAGTTGAGTCCCGAGGTCCCAATCCAGGGAGGCGGCAGCTGTCGACCGGAATGAGCTTACTGGTTAGTGTTTGCATACTTCGTTGCCAAGTCTTACAGTATCCACCACTCGGCCGGCTGGGCGGAAAACGTTCTGCGAGTTAGGCAGCTTTCTGACATGTGGAGACCATAACCTAACCAGGGTAACCTATGGAAGTAAAGCAATTCATCTATCGTGGAAGAGTTCTTCTTCCTAAGACCATCTAGTGTACTTCGGCATTACTAGTCCGATGTTACCAACAGGCTTGACCAATGCTTCCGAGACACCGATTGTCAAACATTGACATCTTTCGTATGTCACCTGCACGTAGAGGCCAGGTTTCTGGTCCATAAAGCGGTACGGATCACGCTGCTACAGTGTAAACTCTGCCGGTAACAGACAAACTCGAGTCGCGTCGGCGATTCAAGAAGTAACCTCATCCCCAACCAGCCCACCGGAACTTATACAACTGCCCATGTAAACAAATTTATCTAACATCGACTGGCTCATCCGCAAACAGGGGGTTTGGGTTTAATCCCACCCAGTCTTGTAGCAGCACCTCACGATTTGCAGGTGTGAAACGCATGCCAAACCGTGCGGCAGAGTTATTCAGTTCATTTAAAACGGCTTGCATTTTTGAAGGATCTGAGCCAAGGAGAGTAATATCGTCATCATACTCAATGTCTGTGAGCGAACGTTCTAAAAGCATTTCGACTCCCTAGGTTTCTGAGGCAGGCAGAGAAATTTCAGGGGGCACATCAATAACAAAGTTGAAGAGGAAAGATGAGAACGCAGCCTTGCCTTGCACCAATCGACGAGGTGAACTCAGGCAAAAGCTTGCTGTACACTCGGATGCTCCCACAGGAGATCGCATGCGGTGCCAACATAAGGGATATAAATTTGGAAAGGATACCTTTGATCGCCAGATACTGCCAAAGTTTCTGACAATCGACATAATCAAAACCAGCTTTCATATCGTGAAAAACGACCAACATGGGACGTTTGAAGCAGTGGCGCTGCTTAAGAATTTGTCCCCAGGTAAAGATATGGTAGATGCATCCTCAGCCAGGGTGAAACCCAATTGGTCCTCACGAATATCTCATCCGAAAATCCATCAACCTGCGCAAATAACGCTAGAGAGCACCTTACATGCGACGGGTATCAGGCTGATCCAACGGTGGTTCTCACATGACGTTCAAGCGCCCTCTTTCAAGACTGGGATAACGGTCGAGGAGCTCTATTTTACTGACATTCTGTTCCCGTTCCGAATCCACTGTATGGTTATTAGGCCGTTTACCAAAACCTTACCGCCTTCCTTGAAAAGAGCCGGTGCCACCGGGTCAGGTGACACATGAGGTGAATGCACGAATCTGCAAGGCTCGGGCCGCGTTTGCTAACTTGAGACACCTATGGCGTCAGAATGGTTTATCCCTGAATCTGAAGGGACGTGTGTATCAAGCTACAGTACGGGCTGTTTTGTTGTATGGCTGTGTTCATTGAGTTCAGTCAGGTGGGTTGGACCAACTTTTCTGAAAGCTGAGCGCATTGTTTCTCTAACTCGCCTCCATGCATTCCCCAAGCAATCTCTTTTGTCTACATGACTGTGCGTTTCTCGTGACTTTCTAGCCAGATCAGCTCAATACTCTTTAGCTACTGAAACTTGTTGGGTACGTGTGGTGCTGGTGAAAAGCGAATTCCTAGCCGAGCCCACACGATGGCGTGATCATAGTCAGGTTGCGTACCCCAGAAGAAACGACAATCCTTAACTGAGGCTCTCTATCGGTAACTGACAGCCATATGGTCTAACTGGGTCCACGACTGTCTTACGGTAAGTGGTCTCCAAGTAACTCGGTGTGTGCGTTTGTGTTGGAAGTTTGTGCTGACCAGGGACAGACGATGAAATGCACGCAACTAAAGAAGCCGCTCTCCATTATCCGTACGCTCAGCATCTACTCCAAATCGACCACGTAACTGTGCTTCTTCCCGACTTAGTCGTCTGACTTGGGCATTCATATAACCCGCCAAGATTAACATACCCATCCTTCTTGCCGACCGAAGCAGTCGTGACAGATCTTGATAAAATTAGTCGTTTTTCATCTCAGAGCTGCTACTGTTGGGGCGTATGCTGATACGACAAACAAACACCGTTTACCACATCGACCTGTGCTAATCTTAATTGAGCCAGACCGCACAGCGCAAAGGCGACTGTTTACTGGCACCTAGTCCAGTACGGCGCTTTCACCCTTGAAGCTGAGTGCAACTCCCACACCGTGGATCCCACGAGTCACCAGATGCCCGAAGAGTGAAATGTGGAACATCTGGGATCATTCTGAGTAGCTTGAGGAGCACGACCTAAGTGGGGTCTTTTATGCGTGTTTGGGAGACACAACATATATCGACAGAAAGCAAGGCTTCAGCAAAAGATGCCCGTTGCCATAGAGTACAGACATTAAAGGCTGCAACGCGAATTAAATTCTTGAGGTTATTGAGTGATTACTTTTATTTTTCTAGGGGAAGGTTTAGACACACCAGCACCAAACTCTGGTTTTAACAGTATTTCGACCGTATTGAAAAATGCGCCGGCGGTCACGGTCAACCGTCTGGCGATCGGAGTGTGCAGTTTTGTGGGCCGATGTATTCTATCCGTCTTTCCTCGGGGGAAGGCAGCATTACTACTTCCATAAATATGGACATGATGGGCGCCTGAGGGGAAACATCTTACTGCCTTAACACTCACACTGAAGATGACAGTACGACTTTACCTCCAGACCGCCTGGTAATACGACTACTTGCAGTACGAGGACTCGATTTTCTTTGTCGGGCTGACCCCGTTGACCTTCCTGGCATGGTTGAACGTTAATGAATGGAGTTCCAGCCAGTATATCCTGCAGGGTCATTGCATCACAGAAGCGAGACCACCACGTCAAGATGACAGCTATAAGTCAGGAGAGTGGGAGATCCCCCGGAATAGATGTTCCGTGCTTGAGTGAGGAACTGCATTCAAATACTTCCTATTGTGCTGCACATACCAAGCTCACTGTCCTGGATTCTGATATGCGACACAAACTCGAGTGAACAGCAAACAAGGGGCTGAATTGATGTTCAGTGTTCCACCCAAAGATCGTGACAACCCTCTGTTCAAGGCAACAGAGTCGCTTTTTATCGGTGCTTGTTCTGCTCGCCAAATTTCCTTTCTGGCATATTACGCAGGTCGATCCGAACGGCTTCCGAACACATCCTGAATAGTTCGCCCCCAAAACTTTTCCGAATTCATACATGCTTAGGTGGAGATGGTCCCAGCTCCGAGTAGGTGTTTACAATTACAACCGAAATACACAGCTTGTTCGCCCCGAGGTTCTTTTTGGTGGAACTGTACAGCTTTCAGACCATGGTGATCCAGCGAGCAGCTGAAACCAAAATGCAATGTTCGCCATGTTTAGAAAAGGGGACTTGAAGTTTGGTCACTTCGATAAATTAGGGCTGTAGGAATCAAATCCATTCTGGACGTGAGCAACAAGATAAAATTTTACCCATATGCCATTGCTAACTTCCTTTTTCTGTAATTTTGGCCATATGGCGACTCCGACATACAAACAAATCATCAACGCAGATGGACCGCATCATCATTGGCCGTAGATGGTGTAGATTAAGTTCGAATGACCGTCCGTTCCGGGACACATGTATGGATTCTGATCATGCGTTTGTTCGTTGCCACTTCTCTTTGGGCTTCTTCTAGACACACAAGTTCTGCACAACACGTCTGACACATGAGAAGCCTTCGAGCCCTAGTGCGAAGTAAACTTATCCGTTCCGTGTAATCTACCGATTTCGACCACTACTGGAAAGAATTATCCGCAACGCTGACAGAACCCGAGCACTTGATTTTTGGAACGGCGTGATCAGCTAGATTGATGTACTGGATCTCTAGCAACATTAAACTTTCACGAACCTCGGACACATTCCTTCTGATCTAGAGTAGGATACAACGTGAAAAAGCGTCAGACGTCAGGAGGAAAAGCACCTGTGCGGATCGGGAAATTTGGCTGAAGGCTGAGGAGATGGAGGAAGCTAGACGCTCTATGAACGTGTTACAATTATCCCAACTGATGAGAAACAAGGCCAGGAAAGCCTCTGATGAACGAAACAATCCATGATAAAAACGGCTTACACGTCGTTAAAAAAAGACCCGCGCATAGACTTCCTGCAAACTTGGTGTTCCTTGACTTCATAAGTGCGTTCCATTCCGCCACTGATTCGTTCTCCTCAACACGTTTGTGCAGCAAGCATGCCTAAGAAGTGCACGACAATAACTCTTTGGGAGAATCTTTGATGAGATCTCCAAAAGCCCTCCTACGGGCTTACTGTCCGATAAGTGTCTTCTCCAGGCACTTTTGTCTCTGCCAATCACGAGTTAGCGAAAAGGAGCGAAAAAGCGAATCATGTCGATATGGAATACGTAGAAGGCATTGTTCCACCTCTCAAGCGATATTAGAAGAGCTGATCGAGGTCGCCAGTACTTCGGCATGTGCTACGCACCCACAAAGTGCAGTCATCCTGCAGAAAGTATAGCCTTTAGACACTCCTCTTGGAGTTCAAGGGAACAGAGTGACGTTACGGAACATCTCAGGAGCTGTATCGAGCGTCATACACGAAACCAACGCACGAATCTCAAGGCCTAGAAGCTCGATCATCAATTCACGTCAAGTGCTACGCTGAAACCCATATCACTGGACTTCAAAGGATGCATGTACCAGACAGCAGTGCGGTAACTCTTGTCGTACGGCTGCAAGACCTGGCCGCTTCGGTTAGAGGATCTGAGGCATCTTCAGGTTTGTGACCATATGTTCTCTCACCACGCAGCTAAACATGTCAGAAAATCTGAACTGAATGACAGTCGAGAATAAATATCCCAAAGCACCATAGATTAGACGATTACCTGGTAATTTCATTTTGAAAGACAGACGATAGAATCCGTCGGGTCCATGTCCTTCTCGTGGAAATGGTCGTCTTGGGTCTAAAATATTACCCTTTCTGACTTTTTGTCTGTCTGGGACAAAACGTTACAGGCGACTGGGGTGACTCGAAAATAGTGTCCACTTTAAAAAACGTTACTTTCAGATAAATTAGTAACCACGGCTGTCAGCTGAACCCCCGTTGTAACAAAGCTTCCGGTGTCACTGATTTTTTCGTCTTACGGCGGCAAGAGAAATACTGAACCGCAAGCACCAAGCGGGATTTCTACCACACAGAGGCTGCGTCGACCACATCTTCACACTCCGCCAAGTATTAGAGCAACGCCACGTACACAGATGAGGCAAGCCCTTGCTTATTGACTTAAAGATAGCATTCAATTCTGTCCATTGGTCACTGTCCTTAATCGCACAACAGGTTATGTCCGAAGAGTTTGTGAACATAACCCGGTCCCTATATCCACACACTTTTTGGCACTTGAGAGTGCATGGTGAGCTCTCTCAAAGCTTCCGTATAAAAAGTAGCGTCCGAAAAGGGTGTCCATCCTCTTCCTTGTTGTTCAACTTCGTCGTCGAGGGAACAGTGAGACGGAATCTGGGAGGTCTTTACAACCCCAGTTTTCAACGAGAAGATAAGAAAATGGGGATTTGGTTGCACAACAGGTACTTCAATCGTGAAAAACATCCAGCACCATCTACTGCGGTGGCCCGGTCATATGCTGCGCTTGCCCGAACACTATCTACCAAGACAGGTGTTGTTCTTCGTGCCTCCTTTAGAATGGCGCAAACCGTGAGGTGGACAACTTTTGACTCGGTAAAAGGGTATGAAGGAAGTTATGAAGAGTTTCCGTATTGTTGGTGTTGTACGCTTTCCAGAATGGGGTCCCCGTGACCCCACGAGCTTGGCTTGAAGCTTGAAGCATTGGATCAACATTATCTACACCGTCTATGATGATGATGATTATAAAGACGTCAACGACAACGACTGAACCCTGGTACTGACCGCGATTCAACGAGAAGTGAAGGTCGTCAAACTGGTTTTTGTATCTTACTCATACTTGTCACCTTAAAAAAATCTAAAACCAGTAGCCATATTTTTCACTGCATAACTAAATCCCATGCAATGGGTTAGGACAAGCTACTTTCAAAGCAGGGACATGCTCTAATGAGTGGGCGTGAATGGCGCGAATGGCACCAGAAGCCGAAGGTAATCTCACAGTTCCAACCTTTGGAATTTTCTCAAATTGCCTGTACTTTGCGCCTTCAGTTACCTACGGATAAGTCATGTGCACTGACCAGCCACCCATGGGTATCTCATGAAAAATGTTTAGAAAAGGCCTCACCATTTTGATATGGGTCAAAATATCAATCTCCTTAGCTTCCTGTTTTATTTTTTCATCATCGCTCACAAGCACCCGTGTTCGGTTGCTGCACAGTTCGAGAACGAGAAAGTCTGGATGCGTCTGGGATACTATCTGAAAGCAAGAGAGTTCATTGCAACATTGACACGGAGAACGGGACTAACCTTTTTCACCTCATCAATACTTTCCTTACTGAAATGGGCCGTTCCAACCAAGTAAACTTTGGTTCCGTTCCTGCACTCTAAAACACTGACGGTTTCAGGTAACTCGAGTGTTTGCTGCCTGAGGGAAGTCACTAGACGAAGATGGTTGTTGATGCACTCTTCGACATTCCGCTTGTCATCCCCTGTAAGACTGGCGGTTTCACTTTCGTAGTCTAAACCATTTCCCGTTGTATCTCCATCTGTGTCAGACATGACGTCGCATAGAGGGTACAAAAACAAAATCTGTGACCGACCGAAATTATATTACATCAGGCGTGCCTAGCCGTGGTGTGTAGAGGTTTGCTTTTCAGTCGTGGACGAAAAAGGATTAATCCTGAGGTCCCTCAAGTGGGTGGATGGAAATCCGGGTACAGTGGAATGATTCTTTCGAACAGTCTAACGAATCTACCGTATCTTATCTACACTGTTGAGATGTGATGACGTCAATCACAGAAAAGCGACGCTGGCTGGGACCCATAAAGTCCGCACGAGCAATTTTCTGCTTTCTGATTGGTTGGTGTGTCGTCTGACATTCTAGTTCACGGATTCACGGATTGGTACACAGGATCGAGGCTTTTGCCCAAGTTTCCCGGGTCGGTTTTGTTCTTGTCGGTCAGTGGCTGTCGTTCACCTGAAAGGCACAAGTGAAA